TGACGACCTACCGGTGTCTTCTTACAAACGGCTTTCCACAACACATCGCGCTCTTCCTTTGATAATCCGGTGGCGTTCTCCCAGATTGGGGTCTGAATCTGACCCGGGCTTACATTTGCAATCATTATATAATTAGTGATTTGTTTATAAAAGGCATATTCATTACTTACTTCACAGCATTCACTCGAATACCTTTAGGACCCCACAAAACAGCCAGGCCTCTAGTTAACATATCCAATCCTCCAATTGTGATTAAATGACAAATTAATTATATGTAAAGATAAATTTAATTTTGATTTCTATAATTACCAGCCTTTGACACACAATAAGATACCGAGTGATTAAACTAAAGGATTAAAACGAATTGAAAGTATTGTAAAAACCTTAACTTAAATCCTAATCTCTTACGGGTTTTAGCGAACAAATACTAGAATTATTAATAATAACTCCTTTGGATTTCTCGAGTAAAGGATAAGCTCTGAGACAGATCTGATAACAAGAGCGAAGATTTGTGTTCATAAAGGCGTCCCATTCCTTAAGGGATGCGTTACTCTCTCCCCCTCCCAGTCCCGCGTTGTTCACCACTACATCCAACTGATGGAAGTGAGCGATCACTTCATCCATCATTCGGTCCACTTCTTCCTCATTCGCCACATCACTGATCACTTCCAATGGCTTTCAATAAATTTCAAACATATTTACACGCAATTCATATTGAATTAACGAAAATATGATATTGTGAATATTTTCAATGAATTCATTTCTTTTACTATACTTTGTATTGTTTTGGTGAGACTTGAGTGCATTTGAGGGCCACATCCGAAACTCTGGAGCGACTCCTGCCGTGAACTATCACTTTAGCGCCCAATCGTGAGAAGAGTATAGCCGTGGACTCTCCGATCCCAGAGCTGGAACCGGTCACCAGAACTACTTTGTCCGTGAAATCCAAATTGAAAGCCATTTCTCACAATCAATCAAAACACTCCACAAAAGCAATATTCAATGCACTGAATTTAATAATCTCATTATATTTATAAAATGAGAAAACTTTTATCGCGATTCAAGCCTTGACTTTGATTTGTTTGAAAAAAAGATTAAATTATTGATAGTATTCAGAAGTTATAAACATTTCTTTCATTAAGTTTTATTCACAATAATGTGCATTAATCTGATTGTAAAGTACTAGCTGATAATCATAATTAATTTTAAATGTCGCGTTTATTATTTATGAGCTGATTAATTAGGCAATGCCAAAATAAGATTTCAAAATCAAATCAACAACTATTGGGTAAATGTTTAGTTAGATTACCGATAATGTTAAATTCATGTTAATATTAAATAAAGAATTTCTATAGATATTTATGAATAAATTACAAGTTTTTATAGTTTTTAAGTAATTATCAAATAGTTTTTATTCTCAAATATGATTTAAACAAAAATATATAATATGAATTAACAGTAAATTGTGTTGAAATCACAATATAATTAAGATTTAGTTTGGAATAAGTTATCATTGGATGCCTACAGTATTATGAAAAATATTATTTATGACAACAGAATTGAGATTCAATTTAAGTTCAAATTGGGATCATTTTTTCATTTTAAATGTTTGCATATTATCTGGCTATGAAACCCAGACTCTTATGTATAATTTTGTGGTATAATAGCTAATTTGCATGCAATTAGTTTAATCAAAACTAATATTCTAGTAAACAATAGCAACATACGGTATACAATGTGTATACGGTATACGGAATTAAAGTGTAATAAGAAAGACCAAATTATGCCGTATTTTAAATGTTAAAATTTAGATTCTGTAATAGACGTGTGGTTTGTATAGAATCTATATTATAGATTAAAAATTACAAAATTATTCAACATAAATTAAAATGAACTAAAATTCGCAAATTATGAATATAAGTTACATAAATCTCATCAAAAATATCAAACCGTATCAGAGGTTATAGATTAAAATATCTTAGTTACCATGCATGTCCTAAATGAAACAATGCAAATGTGTGTCTAATGAATGTAAAATCAGAGAAACGTATGAAATAAATAATAATAAACAATATGTACAGAGAATTATTGAAAAACAAATGAAAACTTAATAAAATCAATGATTGATTGATTAGATCTGTTCGTCAGTCCTCTTCGTTCAAATCGATTCGACAAACTTTTGGCGACTTTTTAGGACTTAATTTCTTGTGTTTTTTATGACAAATTTCGTGTGCATTTTGGGCTAAATTCTCGTTGTTTCGTCTTTTATTATCCCCTCTTAAGACCATTTGTTGCGATAAACCATTTGAAGATAGATTAAGAATAGGAACTGAAAATCATGAAAATATAAGTATTAACACTAAAATTCATTAAAAATCAATCATAAACTTAAAGTAAAAATTAATATTATAGCAATATATATAAAAATAAAAGCAAATTATAAGAAATAAACAAAATACAAAACTATTAAAGCATTAATTTTACCTCAAAGTGTGAATAAATGATGAGGAAAGCAGTCAAATAGTAATAAACAGAACCAAACATACAATAAGAGAGAAACTAAACACCATTTGAAGTAAAGACTAGAATTTCAAAAATCTACAGATTTGGAGGGAGTGTAAGAAAAAACAAAAACAAAATATTTATTCATTAGTTATGAATTGGTTGCGAATGAATGCAATACAAAGCTAATGAATAAATGAAATTATGCCACAAACACAGCATTAATGGCGACAATGATTACCTTTGGATGAATTCATATCACATTTAGCACTCATATCACAGCTATGATCGACTTCAATGGTTTTGCTACAAATGGGACACCAGTATAGCTTGGGTACCATTACTTGGACATTGGGATTACACGTAAAGGCAGTGATTCGGGACTTCCAATCGATTCCAGTCTCTGTTCGCTTCAACTTCTCTAATCGTTGCCTTCGGGTGAATGAGTACTGATGGAAACCCATGGCATGACTGCGTTGAGACAACTCGAGGCCAGTGGTCAGGCGCTCAATGTTGCGAGGCTTCCATTTGTTGAGCTTATTCTCGGCCTTCTCCCGGTGCCGGATCTTAAGGGAACAGTAGATCTCATACTTTCGCACCATTGACTCGACTTTCAAATTGTCAAAACACTCGCTCTTCAGAGAGTGGGCCACTCTCTGACCCATTGGTGACGAGAAGGGGTATATCGTCAAGGAGTTGATGTACTGGTTCTTCCACTCCTTGATCACACGCTTCTTATGCTTTTCCAACTTCTTGTACTTATCTTTGATTTTATTTGCGGTCAACACTTTCACACGCCTTCTCTTTAGGCCATCACTCGAGTTCTGAACCTATGGTTCAAAATCAGAATTCAATTCAATTTCTATACATTTCATCATAAGATAACGAATTGGGAATCAGCTATCGATAAGTCCGGCAATGGATACAAACCTTACGACAATCTGTGACCAAATTATTGATTAAGAAGTCAGGATTGAGGAGCACTTGATTCGACGGATTCATGGAATAGCCGTCGGTTTTGGCGATATTTCTCAGACCGAACTGAGTATTGAGTTGTTTGGCGTCCAGTCTATTGAGTTGTCGGACACTAATCAGATCCAGATATCGGT